GCAGTTGTTTATAGCAAGTGTTTGTGTCTCTGTTGATAACCTGGTATCTCATATCTTCCATGTCTGTATTCCTCTGCACTGTATCCTGTGTCTCCACTTCTCATAACATACCAGCCCTGCATTTCTTTATAAGATTTTATCATAATAGAGTCATAAAACCTGTGTGGTTCCATACAGTGACAAAGAAAAGTAAATCAAATCAGTCACAGCTGGTTGGTCAATTAGAAGAAATGCTGTTGCAGCTAAAGCAAATGTGACAAAGCTGTGGAAAGGCCAAGGAATGCTCAGAAAGGGCAAATCCCATCAAGCCTTGGTCCAGAGCCCTGGCAAACTTACTCCAAAGCCCATGGACCATCATTAGCAATGGCAATACCTTCAGTCTTGCTCTAGATGCAGCTTAACAGTATCATCAACACAGCTGGTGTTTGGCACATTATACTGGAAAAGCTGGAGGATATGGACAGGTTGTTATAATAATGTGAGAAGACGTGATTGTTCAGAGTGGTAGATTCCACTCATATGGACTAATAATGAAATATTTGCTTCTATAATCTGGGACCTTGCCAGTTGCTTTGGAAAGAACAGATGAAGGGAAGGGTTTGTGCATAAAAGTTATTAACAGCAAAAAAAGCCACCTGTAAAAGGCATATGTGATCCTGGGATGTGTTGCTTTTGCCAGCTTCAGTCAGGCTAGGAAAAATAAACTCTTGCTCACCAACAGAGCTTCATCCTAAGTTGTCTGCTTTGTTCTGAATGCTTGTGTTCAGCAAAGACTTGTTCAGATTCAGGAGTATCTGGGTGTGAGTTAATTGTCTAAGTGCAGATTGAGTCACTCTGGTAAGCTTGACTTCCTCTAGCAGAGATCCAGAGGTCTAAGAAAAACAACATGGAAATATCTGTGCTGCTTTGGGCTTCCCACTTCAGTGGGATTGTAAAATCAGGTTGGGGGTAGTGTGGGATTTAGAGTGGGAGGCTCAAGCTCTGCTCAAAACGTCCCTTAAACTGCAGCCATGGAGTGGTTTCTGTCTGATTCTCTTTCTGAGGCTCAACATGTAATTGAAACTATGGATGGATGGATGGTTGATTAAGCCATTAATTCTCTGATTGCCTGCCATTTTAAAATTTTCCTTTCACTTTTTACTCCCAAGCAGAGATTGGCTGTGAAATCAACTGTAAGCCTGAAGTAATTGCTATGCCTTATTCTTGCTGCAAGAAGCTGCTTGCTGTGGTGTATCTCAACTGGTCTTCAATTCTCCCTTCATTTTACACTTCATGCTTTTTTAACACTCTCTGGTTTAGTGTTTAACTGTCTTTAACCACTTTTCTCTCTTTCCTGTTTTGGTGCTCTTTGTGTGATTGCTCACTTTCTTTTCTTCATGTTGTTCCAACTTCCTATTTAAACTGTTCTAAGCTCTCTTTCTCTCTCTTTACCTTTTCTCTCTTCTGAAGTTTCCTGTAGCAGCCCACATCTCAAAAATCTCTTTTCTTTCTTTCACTTTTATCTTTGTCTTTCTGTGGCTGTAAATACCCCTGCCATTTGTTTAAATGCTGCCACCTTGCTCTGCTTAGAGGCTGTCATACAGGATATTAGAGATGCTTTCCTCTCATGGCACATGATTTACTAGTTACCCTTGGTGCAGCCAGAGGGCTCATTAGAAAAATCAAAATATCCAGGAGGAGTCCATTTTGTCTATGCTGTAACCATTTTTATGTCATTTAACCAGTTATAGCAGTTCTTTAAATCAGTGGTTGAACCAAAAATGTTATCAAAAAAATCTAATAAAAAGGAAGAACTGTCACCTTTGAATTTTGAAAAAGTAAACCAAAAAATACAAAGTTATTGTCAGTAGAATATATGGTTTGAAGAAACAAGTCTGGTCTGGTGAGTTTTTATCTTAATCTGTCTTTTAACTGCCAAGTAAAATATTTGCAAGAAAAACTGAACATTGGACTCACATACTTGCTGATAGATGGCATTTTCTAGCCTTTTGGAAAAAAACAAACTACTATTTTGTGAGTACTACATATGGGCTGCTTGTAATTTTGTGAGAGCACCCACCTTTGCTGTTTACCATTGCAAAACAGTTAAATGGTTTTCTGTGGTCGTACTGGTTACATCATATTCAAGGTGTTGGTGTGGTGTGAGGCAGAGTCTCCATTTGTACAACATGGCTTTTCACTTGTGGGTAGAGGAAAGGCACTCAAGAAGCAGCCTGGGTCTCTGCAGAGAGACAAAATATCTATATCTCTGCAGGTTTAGTGTTTGCATTAGACATTTGGCAAGTGTTTTGGCTGTAGGGGAGTCTTGAGTCTTAGGAAAACATGCTATATTAAGGCTCTGTGGGGTTTTGTTTATAGGGCTTCTGGAATGTTTCAGACTCCAGAACCTAACTATATTCCCCATCTGCTTTGCTGAAAAGAATGTCAGCCTGATTTAAATTTGAGTCCCTTTCAACTTAATATGAGGCAGCTTCCCTAGTAACAATCATCCATGACTCCCAGTGACTGGGGAGCCTCTGGGGTGTGTGTGACCCCATCCCAGATCCCTGGGGTGGGCAGCAAGGATGTAGGGGGTAGCCCCAAAACTGTGACCACCTCTTGTATTTGGTGGAATCCTGCAGAGTGAAACCACTAGTGCTGCCTTTGCTTCAGCTTCTGACACCCAGCAGTGACTTTTGATATGAGAGTGTTTGTGTCTCCTGCTATACGTGCTTCCATGAAATTAACTCTCTCCCTAAAAAGGACTCTGGGAAGCTGATTGGAAGAGATGAAGTGAGAAGACAAATTATAGTGAAAATGGGGCGTTAGGGGATGTGCAGTGTTACTGGTGGGGAAGCTCCCCCAAAGGAAAGGAACTGAGTGTGGAGTTTGATTTTTAAATAATATGGCAACTGTGTTTGAATCATAGAACGGTTTGGACTGAAAGGGACCTTGAGGATCATTTAATTCCAGCCCCCTGCCATGGGCGGGGACATTTTTTTACTACACCACTTGCTCAGCAGTCCATCCAACTTAGCCTTGAACACTTCCAGGGATGAGGCCTCCACAACTTCCTTGGATAACCTGTTCCAATGCCTCACCACAGTCACCGTAAAGATTTTTTTTCTAATATTTAATCTAACCCTACTCTCAATTTGAATTCATTCCTCTTTGTTCTGTCCCTACATGCCCCTCTCTTCATCTTTGTCAGGAGCTCCCTTCAGGTCCTGGAAGGCTGCAATTAGGTCACTCCATCCTTCTCTTTTTCAGGCTGCACAAACACAATTCTCTCAGCTTTTCCTTATTAAAGAGGTGCTCATTTGATTATGAAAAAAGCAATTTGAAGTAAGCTGAGCTAAAAGGCAGGTTGCATATTTAGTTTTTAATTGCTTTTTAATGTATTTATTTATCTATTTCATTTATTTTATTATTTTTCTGTGAAACATGAGAGGCTCTGAGTAGAAACATGCAGCAGAAGAAAAGGGAAAACAAAGCCAAGCTCTCTGGCAACTCACGTGCTCCACTCTGGGCTCTGAGTTTGCTGGAAACAATGGTGGTGCTTTCTTCTTCTTCATGGGAAATGATACTTTCTTTTGAAGTAAATGAAACTGGCCCTAATGACAGCTCTTTCAGACATTTGAATGCCAGGCCTCTTGCAGTCTTCAAATGAACTTTATTTCAACACAGCTATTAAGTTGTCTCATCTGACTTCTAGAATGATATTAAAGCCAGATACTTTAAAGTCTCCATGTTTGGGATTCCTCTCCTGTTTTCCTTGTCAGTTATAATTATGTTGCATTTGACCAAGAGGTTGCCAGCGGAGAATACTGAGGGGTGCCAAATTAAATTTCAAATACATTTTGTTCTTTGTTCATGTTGAGAAATATTTCTCCTCCACGGCTGCTGTGCTCAGCAGAATGAGATCAGGCTGCCATTAAACTCTCTGTAAATATCAGTCTAGCTGAGTTTTAAAAACTGTCTTAGTGGCACTGTTACCCCTCCTCTGAAGGCTGGTGTAACATGAGCACCATGGGTCCTGGTTTGAAGAAAAACATAGCAAAAAAATTGGAGAAACCTTCCTTTCATCCAAGCAATGTCTAGTCCACCATCTGGGTTACCTGGCTGCCTGCTGGAGACATGTGTCTAGGAAAGGGGGGGGAGGTTGCTTATTTTTAAAATATGTATTGAAGACCCTGTGTTCTGTTAAACAGTGCCAAAATGAGACAATGAAAATTATAGAAGCGGGAAAGGGAAAGCTCAGAATGACTTTTGGTGACTGATGCTTCAATCCCAAGCAAATGTATTTAATGCCTTTTGTATTTGAATATTTGCTTCCCAAATCCAGATTTCATGTTTATTAGCATGCTGTGGATAGCCTCTAGCAGCATGTGCAAGTCCTGTCTCTGTGCCTACTTTGCATTTCAAACAATTAGCCTAATTTATATTACGAAGAGACACTAATTGGAGGAGAAGGAAGAAATATGTAGCAACATGCCAATGACAATTAAGATAATACATCACATATCACCTATATAAGTTTTTGTGAAAGAAGCTCTTTTCAGATGTCACCTAAGCCTAAGAAGAACTTCTACCCTTGCGAGGTGGACAGTAGAGTGTTCCCTACTTCATATGAATTGGTAAACTGAAAAATGAAGTGTATGTTTTACTTATTTTTACGCAGCTAGAGGTCAGAAAAGAAGAGAGGAGTTCCAGACCTGTCAGGATCCTTGTTTCTCTAACAGGTTTCTGGAAGAAAAGCAATATTTACAGAACTTCCCGTGGCAAAACTCCTCCAATTACATCAGTGCTGTAGATCAGGGATTTGGTTACACAGGCTGGAAAATAGTTAAAAATCTCTGTATTCTCTCTGCAGTGGAGCTAACTGCCCATTCTGACAATAGCTAATTATCTGCTTGTATCCTGTGGTCCTGAAGCAGAGCTTCCCAAAACTGCTTTAGTTGGAGTCCCACTTTTTACAGTCTCACTGACCATTTTTTTTCCTCTCTGTCATTGATCTGCAGAATGAAGCAGCAACAGCAGCAACGTCGAATGTTCACTGCTGCCCTCCTGGCACTCGTTTTCCTTCTGGCAGCCGTGAGTACCACTGAGGCTGGCAAGAAAGAGAAACCAGGTAAGGTCCAGTCTGATTCAGAGTTAATCCCCAAGATAGGTTGCATGTGTGTGAGAATGTCAAATGCTTCTGGTTTTGTTATGAAATAAGGTCATTTGTTAGCCTTTTGACATCAAGGTAGGATTTTTGGCTGTGACATGCTGTTCTGTGTTAAATAGGGAGGCAGAAAGGGGTTTCCATGTCAAGTGGCAGCTTGACAGCCCCAGAGACTGGAGTCCGTGGTTTATCACACAGTGGATAGTGCAAAGCAGCTTAAAATGTGCTCTGTGAATGGTTGCATGCTTGACTTAGGGGGAACCAAACAGGAGTGATGAAAGAGCAGTTATGTCACTTGCTCAGTGTTATATATGACAGTGCTACACTAATGCTGTGTGATGTGGAAATCCTCTGACAAAGAATTGTACTAACTCACTGTTGCACAGACAGCCAGACATCCAGCAGTAGTTGCCTTCTGTCAGTGATGAACTCAGACCTCATTATAAGAGAAGCTGACCCAGGGTGGAAAATTCACATCTGTCAAACTCAGTTTGACATTTTTTAAAGAATGTATTTTTTGGTATTTTTCTTAAGGCCTTATTATTTTCAGGCAACTTATATACCAGATATTATGAACTGTGAGTCCATCAGAATTAGTGTTCCCAGTAAAAAAAATGAACTTTTTAACCATTTTGGCTTTGTGTAAATATGAGAAAATGGTAGCATAAACATGCCAGACCTAGAAGAAAAAAAAAATTATATATGTACAGTTACTTGTGATGATTTAGGGACCTAAGGAACTATTTTTGTGAATCCTTGGGTTTGATAACATTGCTGTCTTTTCTCATGAGACTTGTGCTTAAGGATCTAAATAAAATCCTTACTTTTTTCCTTGAGCAACAAACCCACCTGAATTAACAGCACTTCGAGTACACTTCTCCACAGAGCTCCTTTGCCTTTGAAGTATACTGTGATAAAATGTGACATGGTATAGCAAATCAAAAGTTTGCATCCCACAGCTGTTTCCTGAAGGTGCTCAAATCCTCTGATTTCAGCACATACATTTCTCATTGTTTAGTGTATAGTGCTTCAGCTGGAACTGAGGATGTTTGCATGCCACCAGCTACACGAGACAGAGCTTTCTGAGTGAGGTCCATTCTGCATGTTTTGGTCAGTGATCCCTGTGGGTTTTTAGATTTCTGAAGATGAGAATCCACTTGAGAATATCTGAATGGACTAGCAAACATGGCAGTGGGACTGAGTTTGAATGATCATCCTGACCTGTCTCTGCAGAATCATGAAGAGGATGTCAGACCTTTTGGTTTTAAGGCCATTGTGTTACGGATGTCCTCCTTAGTCACCGCTCCAGGTGCTGCAACTTTGGTTAAGTTTAGGCAACTTCTCTGTATGCTTTGGGTACTGAGAACTTCTCTTTCTTGGTTTCTTGTCTCCATGCAGAGAAAAAGGCGAAGAAGTCTGACTGTGGGGAATGGCAGTGGAGTGTGTGCGTGCCCACCAGCGGTGACTGCGGCCTGGGGACACGCGAGGGCACCCGCACTGGGGCTGAGTGCAAACAAACCACCAAGACTCAGAAGTGTAAGATTCCCTGCAACTGGAAGAAGCAATTTGGAGGTCAGTATCCTTCTCTTAGGTATTTACTTTGGTTTTTATTTTGAGTATGGAGCAGGAAGCCTGTTTTTTCTGCTTGGGGAAGGCGTTAGTCCTGCATTTCTGGTTCATCAGAGCTAGAACGTGCAGGCCATCAGAAGGCAGCTTCCTCAGATTCCCTCTGCAGAGAGTCCCTATAACTTACTCATTACAAACTCTGCCTTCCTGCGTGCTGGAATCTGCTCTCTGTGCTGTTCAGCCCTGTTTAGGGCAGCAGTGCAAGTTCACAGCTGTGAACCTCTGCGATGGCTGTCACAGACTTTACAATGTGTGATGTGGAGCCTGGGGTCTGGCCACCCAAGTGTTCAGTAAAAGGAGAGAGTGAAGACCAGTGTATTTTTATCATTCCAGACCAGTGTATTTAATTTTTACCATTCAGTTCAGAAGGTTTTTATGTACCAGTTTGGGAAGGTATGTCAGATCTGTCCTGGACAAGATGTCTATCCAAAACTCAAATTTGATTTCTCTTGCAAACTTGGCTTTTCTTTCTAGTAAACAGCTTGCACGATTTTGAAATTATTGTGACCTTACCAACACAATCAGTGCTGCAGTTTTAGACTTGAGAAGTTTATGGGTGAACATACATTCTAGAAACTGTTCAAGCTTTATTTGGTAACCTCTGGTGTCGCACAAATGGAGAGACAACCATATGAAATGTAAACGACATTTCAAACTGCTGTTTCTTTCTTTTTTGTTGTTGTTGTTGCTATTCATATTCATAGCTGAATGTTTTTTTCTTTATATGCCAAAAAATGCAATATCCATGCAAAAGCAAGAGGATTAAATTTTAAAGCATTTGGGAGGAGGGGAGACTGCAATTACCACCACAAATAATCTTTAAAGTTTTCTTGGGATTCTTTTCTTCAGTTGCACATCTTTTTGTCTATAAGCACCAGCTGCCTGTGGTGGCCTATTAGACTCACGACATTTTTGTTTTCACACTCAGTCATTGTGTTTTAAGTTTTGCCTTTTTTCCCTTGCTGCAGCGGAGTGCAAGTACCAGTTCCAGGCCTGGGGAGAATGTGACTTGAACACGGCCCTGAAGACTCGGACCGGGAACCTAAAGAGAGCCCTCCATAACGCTGACTGCCAGAAGACTGTCACAATCTCAAAGCCCTGTGGGAAGCTTACCAAACCCAAACCTCAAGGTAAATTCCATTTGCTGAAAGCTGCATGAGAGCTGACTTAAATCACTGGGTTTGTGGTGTCCTGCTTGCTTCGGTGGGAGCTCAGTTGTACAGGATATTGCACTCTCGTGGCCTTTCCTCAGCTCTGCACTGCTCCTGTCTGTCAGGGCTCAGGCAGGGAATATTCCTGAGCTGCACGGTCAAGGCTGTCTCACATTTGAGAAGTAAGCTGAAGATTAGAGCTCCCATTTTAACTTTAGCCCACCTGAACTGTTACCAGTTTGCTTGCACTAGACTTCCAGAGTAAAGATTCTTTTTGTAATTCACTCATTGGTGGGAACAGAATAAAAATTATACCATGAAAAATATCCCTTGATAAAGACATTCTTTTATATAGGTTTTGTTTGGTATTGAATAACGATTAGTTGAAAAAAGGACTGCTTTCCTTCTGGACAAGGAACATTGAAAGGATATTCTTTTCAGTGCACAATGAAATATGAAAATATTGTGCACCCTTGGGGCTGTTTATTCTTTATTCAAACATAGCAGGAAGAACAGTACAAAATGTATATGTCTTATTTAAATGTGACTGACAGTGTAATTCCTGGTACACAGAAAGACATATGCCCTGCATTTGTGTTTCCAGGTGGCCTTTAGAAAAACTTATTTTCTTTCTAATCATTAAAGCCTTTTAATGTACTCTTTTGTTGGAAGAGCAGGTGTTATGTGTATAGGATGATTTATAGTGGGAACTAAAACTGTGAGATCTTGTTTGAGATACAAAAGCAATATGTTTTAAGTAGATTATAAAAGCTATGCTACCCTGACATTTGTTTACTTAAAACCAGCAGGGTTTGACACATTCCAGGCTCTGAATACTTGGATGGCAATACAAATAAATGTGATTAAGTGTGACAGGTGCACCTGGGACAAGCAATTTTCAAATTGTGGGCTGTGGTGCGCCATGGATCAGAGTACCTGCAGGTGGCCTGCTCTGCTTGAGCAACCAGAGAAGCTGCAGGCATTTGTGTTTGTTTGTGTGTGTGTATGCATGCATCCATCCATCCATCCATGTGACTGGTTTTCCTTGCACACCATCCATGAGTCCAGACAAGTCCAGAACCTGTGCAGACAGTGACAGGCTGTGGAGCAACTAAGTTACAACTAGATTTTCAGAAACCACCTGAGTTGGTTGAGCTGGTGACAACAAACATAATTTAGGGGTTGAAGTGATTGGATGGGAATGCAGGAAGGGCCTTGAGATGTGTGATTTTATTGTTTAGCAGTTTGAGGGGCAGGATTTTTTTCATGTTTTTGCTATTTTCTTTATTTTACTAAGTTTCCATGCCTAAGAAGCCTTTGGGAGTTTACTGAATGAGGCTTCCTATCGTGCTGCCAGAAGGCATCTTCTGCCCCTGGAGCCTCTGCCACTGAGTCATATATCTATATCCTGTCAGTGGCTGTCAGAGCGAGGGGAGAGGGCCACAAAGCAGAGCATTGATGCAGCATTGTTTTGTGAGAGCTGCGCTCTTGGGTAGTACAGGCTCATTTTCAAGTTGGAGCTTTAAAGACAGAGCTTGAGAAATTGCTGGATTGGAGTCAACTTTAACTGATTCTGGAGTTTAGGAGTGAGTTATAGCTGAGACTGAAAATTGGATTGGGACTGACTGCAGCAACCAGTTATGGGGTTTGACTTAATTACGAAACCTGGCTTTATTTGATTTGAAGGAATGCAAAAAGAGAAATAGGTACAAATGTGGGTTTTTAATCATAATAACTGTGGGCAGTTCTGCTCTCCTTATCTGCATTAGAAGTCTTCCTGCATGCCACCTGCTCGCTCATCTGCTGTTGGCATTAGTAGGAGCAGCAGGCATGGGAGTCACACACACACAGCCTGCCTGGGCTCAGAGCTAAGTCCATATTGCAGATCTGTGGGTATAACTACACGGGAGCTACACTGGGCAGTGTGCTGGCACCAGGAGGAGGAACTAGAGGAAGAAATTAGGTCAAGCAGATTAGTTCTGTGTGAGGAGTTTTGCCCCACTGAACTTTATTTCTGAGTTAAAAATCAGAGTGCTGGAATGAGAGTATTTGTTTCCTTCCTGAGGTGAAGGAAATGACAGGTTGGAGGTAAGTCCAAACCCACAACTAAGAAAAAGGAAAATACTTAAACTGCATTGAATCTGTAACTAGAATCCTAATGAATTTCCTCATTTGTAAATGGGAAGAACTGAATTATGGCCTGAGCACTTCAAATGGTCTACAGTTACATGTTAGGCTCCTTTTTCACCCCTAACTTTGCATCACTGCCTCAAGACTATAACAAAAAAGTCCATGATGCTTTATGTGGAAGCAGCAGGTCATTTTCTGAAGTGTGAAAGGTTTGTACTGATATCCAGCTAGATCTGTGGGTGCTGATCAAGGGCTGGGATTCCTACTGGGATTGCCTGGCCGAGCAGGGCAAGGGATGCTGGCATTTGGGTGCTGTGGCAGCAGAGCCGTTAGCCAGGGGCTCCGCAGTTCAGGAATCTGTTTTACTGTGAATAGTGGCCTTTCTGACTGGTCTTTGCTTCAAGACGTTCACCAATGAATGCCTCTCTGACAGCAACAGGCTGAGAGCACCAAAAGCAGACAGAAAATATTGCACTGAAAAATACTGGTATATTCAGAAAAAAAGTGTTGTTTTCCCGATTTTCCTGACTAACCCCATTCCAGTGAGGTGAAACTTTTATTCTATTAGGTTGTATTTGTAACCTCTCCATTATATCCATTTTCTTTTTTATTTCATACTGTAAATGAGGTCAGTAAACGCCCCTGTTTAGCTTCTCCAATATACTTTTATATATCTTCTTTTAATTTTTTGTCGCTTGCCATCTTTTAAAGCTTATGACTTAAGTAATTCTTGGTGTAAGAATTTATCCACAATAAGAATACTCGTTATTGGACTTACCTAAATTCCTTCTGTTATTACAAAAGAGTTTTTGGTATGGGGAGACTGGAATGTAAACAGTATTCTAAGCATGTCCTCTACAGAGGACACCCACTTTATTGTTCATATTGTTCACCCACTTATTGTTCATTGTTCTTATTGTTCATCACACCCACTAAATTAGCTAAGTAGAATTTTAATTTTGATCATTGCTTGCATGGGGGAGTATCTAAGACCTTCAAAATTCTCCCTAATTAAAAAAAAATAATTAATGTGGTAATTTAAGAACTCCAGGAATTGTGTGGCTAAGAGAGATTATCTTGTCTAGGCCTGACCAATGAAGCATTGTGCATCAAATTTCACCTGACACATTTCCTTCCTTCATGGGATGTGGTGTCTGAAGTTCGTCCTCACCTTCTCTGCTCTTTGAGGAAAATTCCACTTGATGGATCTTAAATGTAGATGCTGCTCTGCTGTTGCTTATCCACTTTTCCAGCCCATCAACATATGGCAGCTGTGCTCATAGGATGAGTCTCCCTCCTCTTACTTAATGATTTCAAAAACTACTGCTGTTCATAGGAGTTGGATCTATTCTTAACAGAAAGGAAAATCATACCTGCAAAAAAATCTCAGGGTTTATAATTTTACACATTTGTTGATAAAATATAGTTTGGTTTTCCAAGGACTTTTATGATCTCTGACAAAACTTGTGCTAAGTTAAAGCAGGAGATGCTCATAAGCTTTGGGAATCAATTCTTTCTTCATAAACTAGTAAGTTAAGTGTTTTTATGGATTTCTTTTATCTTTAGTAAGCATCCATAGAAAATCTTAAAACCTTTTTAAGCACTCTCCATTATTTTGAAAACGAAAAAAATAAATATTTTCTTCTTAGCAATTGCTCTATGTCAGTACTTTCTACTTCTTAGCAGCTGTTTTCTGGATTACAACTTTTTTTAAGGATGAGAGCAGATGATGAACCAGGAATTTTAACCTTACTTTGCTTCCTGACAAGCTCTTTTCTCCATAGCTTTGCTCACATGTTCTCAGAGTGGAAGACAGTAGCTTGGTTAAAGTGTAGGTAACACAGGATGAAAAACAACTTTCCTTCTTGAATACTGTGCATTTAGGCAGACAGATTGTCAGCAATGTGATAGTGATGTCCCAGGCACCATGGTTTGTGGTGTATTTAGTCCCCAAATGAGGTCATGAGAAAGCTTGTCACGAAGTCTAGAGAGGATGAAAGGATGATTTTCATCAAAAAATCCCAGTGGAGGCAGGCACCTCTTCTCTAGCACACACAGTTGCATATTCTAATCAGTGTCTGCAAGGCTGGTGATGTTGAAGGTCTCCCTAAACTGTCCTGACAGATGTGACAGACTCAGGCACTTGTGTCGAGTGGCTGCTCTAATGGCCAGCTTGTGCTGAGGAGCACAAAGTGCTTCCGACATCCTCCATCTGGCCAGCTCCACGCCCACCCAGGCTTGATTGATGCTTGTTCAGGTTCCAGCCAGCCAGAAAGCAGAAGAATGGAGGATTGTCAGGATTCAGGAAACGTTTGGCTTGAACTGCTAAGAGAGGAGGAATTTCTTTTCATTGAGCTGTGTTGCCTGATGGGCTTTATTTCTTCCTACACTCTTTTGGTCACTCTCATTCTTTCTCTTTCCCTCCCCATAACTGTTGTACTTTCAGATATTTATTCTTCTGATTAAGATAAAATTAAATAGAACAAGCAGTTTGCCTGCCCTTTCTGCAATGTACCCTTCATTTTTTTGAATTATGCACCTTTCTCATAACTTTTTCGCCTGGCTGTATTTAGCTCTTTTTAATAAATCTCCCTTCCCAACTCTTTATCAATTTACAGTACATCACATCTATGAGTTACTTTGTCATGGCTCAGCTCAGTCCTTGCCACATAGGAAAAATATGTGCTAAGGTTGGCAAATATTAACACTGCTCACACCACTGTTGTCTTTAGTAATTGGGGTGCCAACCAAAGATCACATCCTCCAACATGCAGTGTTTGGAAAGATTTCCCACATAAAGGCAAGACCTAACTGAGCTGTTACTGGCTGTAATCTCTTCTGTATAATTC